TGTCCGAGTATCTCAGCTATGACAACACTGAATAAGAAGCCACTTTTGGGTATGTTATGACATTTGCTCTCCAGAAAAATAAACTGAGGGCAGTTACTGTAAAATGCCTGCACAACCGCCCCTGCACATCACAGGCAACAACAACAGGAGGATGGAACTTGAATGGAAGTGTCTTACTTCCATTCAAGATACTGGTTTAGGGGGGAAAACATTAAAAAAACAAAAGGATCAGCCACTCTTCCCGGGGAGAAGCATTGAAAGTCTCTGCTCCTCAACACCTTCCCACCTCATGGGCCATGGTGCGTGTGAAGAACAGCAAGAAACCCCCTGAGGTTTAACCCCACCGTGCACCTGCCGAGGGACCCCAGCCCCCTGCATGCCTTAGGAGACCCCAAAATATCCCTGTGAGCCATAGGAGGAACCTCAGCCCCCTTCACACCTTACAGGGCACTCCAAAGTCCCCATGTGCCTCAAGAGGGACCCAAACCTGCTGCACACCTTATGACGGACCCCAGACCCTCTTCATGCCCTGATGGCACTCTGGGATGCCCACGGGTGTGGAGATGCCTTGGGCATCACCCAGGGGTGGAATGTGGGAAGGAGAAGCCACTGATGGTTGTGGAGAGAATGGAACAATGCCATGAAAGATCCCAAGATGGTTAAAGAGAGCATGTGCACCCATTTCCAGCTCTAGGCTCTGCACTGACACCTTACCCAGGTTGTTAACTGTAGGTCTGGTCACCATCAAAAGAGCCAGTTGGTGCAGGTCACCTCATGTAAGCTGAAACACTGCTTTATTTTATGCTGTATGTGTGTGAGATTTCCTGTGGACTAGTACTTGCTTGTAGTTTGGTAATTCTCAAAAATATTTATAATTTCTCAAAAATATTTATAATAGCACATTTTTCTACATTCTATTTGTAAACGGAGGGCATCAAACTAACGTTATTTATATTAACTTGGGGGATAGTGTTTCATTTTCTTTCAGGAGGCTGATATACAGAGTCCTGCATGAGCAGAAAACTGGGGTTCTGTTGCCTCATGCTTTGTATTGATCCTTCAGTGAAAAGGAAAGGAAAAGGCTTTCCCTATTTAAAAAAATATTGTACATGAGAAAATGCTTCAAAGTCTTGTTGTGGCCTCCAGGAGGTAGAAGGTGAGGCCTGTTGAATCTGCAGAGAAGTCTGGCACTGAACGCACTGGAACTGAGGTATAAAATTGCTGGGTGAGTCGGTTCTTGTACAGGGGGTTCATGTAGATGTTTGTCATTAGCAAACTGAGACAGGAATGCCTGTGTACCAAACATACTGCCCTGGGAAACGGGGAACAGCTGCATCTCCACCCTGACCTCAGCTGTGCCCGAGGAAAGGTTAAATACTTGGGCTTCATTTTGGGAAAGGGGCAATGAATGACAGATCTAGAAAAAAGAGAGGCCAAAATTAAGCTCCCACATCCAGTCGCAAAAAGCAGGTACGAAGTTTTCTCAGAGCTGAGGGATTTTGTTGGCCATGGACTTCTGGATTGGGGGGAATTGACTAAACCTCTGACTGAGGCAACCAAGGACTAATAGATGTGGGATCACTTGTGGTAACGCAGGAATGAGGAGCCCAGGAGAGATCAGCTGAACTGGATCCAGTCTGCGCTCAGTGAGGGGCAGCAGCAACAGCCCGAGCCACAACGGGCACATGGACAGGACTTTAAAAGATGCAACATCTTGAATCCAGCAAGCCTAATACATGGTGATGGAGGAGAGCACCAGCAGTATGAGCAAGTGATGCACATTTCAAGTGAACTGTGGGCTGATTTAAGCGATCCTCCCTCACGTAACCCAGAGTTCTACTCGCAGGTGGCTCATCCTGCTCCCTGCAAGCATGGTGCGGATCTGGGCGTGCTGTGGGTGCCAGGGACAGGGGACAGAAGCAGAATCGTGCTCAGGGAGCAGAAAGAGCAGCTTGGATGCGCACAGCATGTCTGGGAAGAGGGAAATGAGTCAACATCTGTGCAGACCCTCTGCTTTTGGGGGTGTCGTGCAACAGGAATGTTCTGGCATTTTCACATCCTCAGGGACAACGTGCTCTTGTGGTTCTGATGGTGGATCAGAGTGAAAAGCCAAATTTGACAGACCCCAAGACTGCATGAGAGGGAGGGCTCAGCAGAAGGCCTGGGGTCCTGTGATGCCAGCCAGGTGACCAGACAGTCACACACAGCAGGAGCCCACGGCTCAGCAGGAAGACCCCCTTACATGTGAGGGTATAAAAGCCCAGCGTGTTCTTTGTTCAGGGTCTCTCCTCAGAGGCACCAGCTCCAGCTTTTATTGTTGCACCACGATAAAATTCCTTTAAGGATACAGAGGTCTGAGACCCTGCTATGGAGTATATTCCACATTTCCAATCTTTGGGGGTGGGGGGTTGATTTCTTTTTGTGAACAAGATAAACAAACTCCCAAAACCACACAAACAACTCCTTTGCCATTTCCTCCTTTTATTTTCAGCTGAGTTTTACACAGTTCTATTTGCTCTTCTACCTTGTCCTCATCTTTCCAAAATTCCTGGGCCTATTCAAGTCTGGCCTGGGATGGTGCACACAGTTTTTTATTTCTGTAGTAATTTATCCACAGCAGTCCTGCCACCTACAGCAATTTAAATGTTGCAAAAACCTAACTATAGGCTGCAGTGTATGAGTCACACTCCGTGAGGTGGCAGAGCACGAGGGCAGGCACTGAAGGAGGGCATTTGGCTATAAAAGGGTGTGACTGGCATGTTTGTCCTACTCAGGGTTCTCCTACTGGTATTTTGGTAGTTACCATATCTTACCACACGTTAGAAGTGAGCTGGCTGGTGGACTTGAGGCAAGAGAGGACCCAGAAAGAACCCTGTGGTTATGGAGATCAGCACAGCAGCAGCAGAGGGGTTTGTCCTGTAAGGAGAGGTTGGGGAACCAAAGATCCTGATGTGACTTCAAGGTAAGTCTCAAGAGAGACAGCGAGTTTGCAGTGGTTTACTGCAGCAGCTGTTGCAGGGGAGGCTGCTGCTGATACGGAGGTGACCTTCTAATGGGAGAGGAATTTTGTGGAAGAATGGAGAAAGAAGTAGAGGCAGGCTGGGTCCTCTTGTCCCATCCTGCTGCTGGCCCACTGCCATCCTGCTGCAGCAGGATTTGGTGAGGATTGGAGTGTCAGCATGCAAGGCAGTGCTCCTGATGAGCGTGAGGAGAAATCTGCCCACACACCTCCCACAGCTGCAAGGCTGTCCCACAAAGCTGTGTATGAGGAAGTGACAAGGAGTATTTGCTGTTTAAACATTTAATAGAATCGTCACAGAGTCACAGAGTGGTTTGGGGTGGAAGGGACCTTAAAGACCATCTCATTCCACCCCCTGCCATGGGCAGGGACGCCTTCCACCTTCCAGGTTGCTCCACGCCCCGTCCAACCTGGCCTTGGACACTTCCAGGGATGGGGCAGCCACAGCTTCTCTGGGCAACCTGTGCCAGGGCCTGCCCACCCTCACAGGGAAGAATTTATTCCTAATGTCTAATCTAAACCTACTCTCTGTCAGTCTGAAGCCCTTGTAAACAGTCTCTCTCCATCTTTCTTGTAGGCTCCCTTCAGGCACTGGAAGGCCACCATTAGGTCACCCCGATTTGCATCACTTGGGTCACAAATTAATTAAGAGGCTGCTACTAAAGTTTGTAGGTTTGAGTATTCATTCAGATGGGCTATTTTTGGTTTTATCCATGATGGGTTCAGCCAGATGTGGTGGCCAGTTTGGCCATAATTGTAAACACACTTGTCAGCGAACCAAAAATCATACTAAATAAAGAAGTGCCCAGTTCTACACTCCCCATTTACATGGGCTGTGTGTAGGTAATTTTTCAAATGCCAACACCTGACATTAACTTCAGAAAGGTTATTCCAGCTGGAGCTAATGATATGTGAGAGCCCTTGTTCATTACACCGATTTAAACACAACTGACCTGATTTCTGCCCCCCAGGTGTATTGGTGTGTAGAAATAAAAAGCTAAAATACACAGCTAAAGTAAATAGCATCAGGAATCGGTGCTGGCTCCTTGGAGCAGTTAACTGTAATAAACTCCAAGAATTTCTTGGGAAACCAAGACACTTGCAAATGCATTTTGGTGTTCCCAAGCCTGACTGCTAAGGCATGCTAATGTGGAGCTGCTTGTCGTGTTACAAAGCTGGGTTTGTGTATGTGATTCACATGTGATATTTTCCTTTCAAATGTGCTTATTTTAGGATGGTTCTGCCAAAGTACTTGTATGGATCTGAATTTCATATAAAATCATCCAACAGTTGAAGCATGTATAATTTACATGTATTTCAAAGTGCTCTATTTTTATCTCTAAATATTAGTCATTTACATTAATGAATAAAAATATTTCGGAAAAGGACAGATTCTTGTTTAACTACTTAAATATATCAAACTGGATAAACTGTTGATCCTGCAAACTGGCATTCCAGTCCACATCCAAAGGCTGTAATCCAAAACTGCAGTTATGATGATGTTCCTGTCTGGTTAGATAAAAAGGTCTCTACAAAGTGTATTGCAGATAACAAGATGTTGATTAGTTATTTTTAGTATTATTATGTTACACTTATTTATGCAAGATTTTGCTGAACATAAGTACGGACAGAATTATATCCTTACTAAGATTTCATAAGGAAGTGGCTTTTCATTTAAGATCAATAAAAGTTTAGCCAATAAGGTAACATCTTACTCTTATTCTAAGGATTTAAAATGCCCCAGTCAATTTTCTGTTAAAAACAGTTTAAAGCTTTCTTAGCCAGAAAAAGTCTGAATTAAGGGCTTGATAACTAATACTCAACACAATGTGTTTCTCTCCTGCAACACCTTTTAGAAACACATTGGTTACAATTATTTAAGAGATCTAAAGGAAAATATTGCCTGCTGTCAATGGCAGACCTCAAGATCTGTCCATTATTCCTCTTGGCCCTATTTTAAAATTTCTAAAAGGAAAAGCAGTTTCAGTGGTTCAGCCAATATTTATTTTCTGCAAAGTAAAATCAAAGAACATTAATGTAAACATATGTGATCCAGAAATATTAACTCATCAAACCTTTGTGTATCATGGCACTGAACTTATGGCAATGGTGTAGCTTGAAAATAATGTTTCTTGCCAATAACAGAGGTTTCTAAATCAATAAACACATTTGAGAACAGGAGAACCCTTTACAATATAAAAGCACAGTACCTGAAAATCAAATGCTACAGAGTATGGTCACACAGGAGCTCTTCTTTAAAACTGTGTAGATTGAACAACTGCCACTAAAACTCCCTCTAAAAAAATAAAATGATTTGTTAATAACTACTATTACCTCAAGTTAGGTAGATCATGCCAGGTAGCACAAAATACAGTAGCTGGAAAATGCAAAATAATTTGGTAGGCCCATCTGATGCTTCATCAGAGCTTGTAGAAATCAAGGAGGATTCTCTGTTCCTTCCTTAATCCTTTTCCTTTTTTCTTCCAGTGTTTGTTTAAATACACTTTTCAAGGTATTGTAAACATATGGTCCATTTTCAGAATCGAAGCTTGTCTAATAAAAGAGAAAAAATTCAGTTCAGTTGTTAAACAGATGTCACACAGCAAAACCCAAAGTAGATGCCCAACATTTAAAAAAAAGTAGCTTTGAGATTTATCAGAGAAAGTATGTGTTTGATGATGGAGTGCTTCATGCTCAGTTGTTTTCAGTTTTATGCTGACTGGACATTGAAATACACTGGTAGAAGGAGAAATGTCATGGCTGTTTTAACAGGTGACACCAGAGATTAGGAAGCAGCATGGTGAACATTCTGTTCAAATTCAAATTTCATGGGCTGAATCTGCAAAGAAAGCAGCTCTGAGCTGAGCCACAGCTTCACCTGTCACTGTTACTGGATGATCCCAAAAACAGAAGTTATTATCCACATCCTGCATTACAGGGCTGAAACATAACTGGATTGCAGTGTAATTTCAGAAAATGGTTTCATCTGATGCAAAGACTTCAGGTAGTATAGAACCTACCAAAGCCTTTGGTAAGGTACTCCCAGTGATCAGTTAGTGTCACCACTTAAAAATTATCTTTTCCCTAATTTGAGGATGCCCATGAACTGGCAGTGGTCTAGAAACAGAAAAAGGAGACTCAAGGATTAAGGCTGTAGTGACAGAGTTTTATTTTGTTGAGAACATTTGCTACCCTTTATGTAGGCTGATTGTTATAAAATGTAAACTCTGAACTAAGTAAGTGTGAAGGAATTACTGCAACTTTTCTCACAGAGCCTAAACTTTTCTCATGACTTAAACCAAGTAAATACAATGCCATGGACATTTATTTAAGGTGACTTGCCTTGGTGAAAGCTTTAATAGCACGAGCAAGTAAGGCCTCCTCCACATCATCTGGCAGCATCTGCAGGTTCACCACACAGTGTAAAATACAAAGGATAGTCTGACACTGCTCCTGGTGGGTGAAAGGAACAGCAGCTCATTAGAAGAAATATTTCCATGAGAAACATTTTAACATTCAGGTTTTGTTAACTGCTCTTTAAATATCGGGCTGTGCCTTCCTGTATCGAAACCTTCAGGTGCAGGAGTTGGGGAGGGAATTCCCACAAGCCCAAAGAGCCTCTGCATAATTATTTCAGTTGCAGTGGGAAAAACTCCTCCCAAGTACCACAAACTGCTCTGGGAATTTCTAGGAGCTCAGACTTATTTTTCAAGCCCCCCCCTCCATGAACAGTAACGTTCATGCCAATGAAATAATACAGGATGAGGTAAGGAAAGGTAAAATTATTATTCCTTTCCCAATCATTTACAGCAGGTGCCAAGCAGTTTTTATTTAATATAGATAGAAAGTTAAAAACTCTGATAGAGTGGAAGAATTCCTGAGGAAGAAATACGATGTTTTTAGGCAAACTTGGGAACTCTGAATGTCATGTCATAAAGATGGTAACTGCACATGAGGTTCTGACCACCTCTTGATTAGTAGCTGTATTTTTTCATACCTGTAAAAGTAAAAGGGGCTCTATTTTCTTCAAAAATACTTCAGAAACAAAGAATTCCCTACGAATTAGGAAATTAATTTGTGCAATTAAGAGATCAAGAATGGAGAATTTAATTTATTTTTTAATTTACCTTCATAAATTTACCTTGTAAATTTATTTTCCTTTCGGGGAAAGCACAGTTAAACAGTTTGGATCACAAGTACCTCTTTTTCACAGGGCTTTCCCAACACAGGTGGCCACAGTTCTAACTCCTGTGGAAAAAAGGTTTCTCATCTTTGCCTCTGGCTCTCGAGGAGCAGAACTTGCAGGGGAAAGTGCTGAAGTTGAGCTGCTACTGGATGGCGTTCAAGGATCGTGTCTGGTATTTTTTCTTGTAATACTCATCACCACAGCATGGATTACAACTCACACCGTTCCACCCAGAATGAATTCTCATCCTGATTTTTAAAGGGCTTTTTGAAAAGTGCGATTTTGCTTTTTGAAAAGTGCCCCAAAGTGAAAGAATGAATTGACAGATTCCTTCTGGTACCTTTCTCAGCAGGTAGAGTGCTTCCTGTGATTCCGGGCCATTTTTTGCCAGCATGTCCACATCATCTTTGGATATAACAGGTTCTTTAAGCTGCTCTATCCAGGACCACATCAAGCTGCAGAGGATAAAAGGATCTCTCTCGGTGCAGATTTTATCCCAAGCTCCATCTCGAGAATTCAGTTCTTTCTTGAAGCAAAAGAAAGCAAAGCAAACCTGGAAATGCATCATTTATTTACCACTGCCAACCTTCCCTTTGATTGTAGCAGTACTTGGCTGCTTATGTTTCAACAGGAAAAGACTAAAAAGTTACCAAAAAAATTTGTATTTTTTTCCCAAAGTATCAACATCAATCAGCAGTAATACAAGTGATTCTTTAAAACAGAAGGATGGCATAAACAGTGCAGCTGAGCACCTCCCAATACTCTACTGGAATACACAAACCAGCTTTGCATTCCAACTTCAAAGCAAATGTTGCTGGGAGGATTTGGTTCTGAGGATAAGCTATTTAGTTTCTACTAAATTCTTTCTCTTTTACTCACAGAGTCCTCTGATGAGTTCTGAGAAAGCACTGATGAAAACCAACACAGGTCTACCTTAAAATCTGGGCTATTTTTTGCTACCAGCAGCCAAGTTACAACCACAGACAATGGCATCAATTTTCCCTAGAAAAATGAAGGAACACAACCTGAAAAGAGGTCTTTACCCCCTCCTGCCACAGACCAGAAGTTGTAGGTGCATTTTGCCAGCTGGCCCATAACTGACAACTACAATTATTTACTGAACCACACATAAACTGCTGTCCCAATGTGCCACTTCAAAGCTCCACGTGGTGTTTTTGCCATTCTAGGAATTAATCAAGGTGAAATATGCAGAGCCCATAACAGGGAATCGAGTTAAAAATTACCTGCCATACTTCTACCTTCTGCTTCACTTCATCCTCTTCCAGAAATTCATTTATATCTGCCAGTGCTTTTGCTGCCAAAACTCTCCGGGCTTCCAGACTTAATTCTGACTGCAGAACAATGTGTGGAATTGTCTCCGACACATCTCTGCTACCTTGGCTTTCATACCCAATGGAAAAGTTCGCTTTGGAAGAAGAAGAAGAAGAGTCAGAGTCCTCGGAGGCGAAGACTGTCCTGCCATACATGTTAGTCTTGAGGTGCTTCCTGGGCCCGAGCTCCTCAGCAAAGCCGTGCCTCGGCACTCCGGGTTCCCTGGCGTTGTGGATGGAGGCAAGGCCTGAAGAGAAGGTTCTGCTGCGTTGGACTTCTCTGGTGGAGCTCCTCCTGTGGCACAGTGAGGGCCCCTCTCTCCGTCCATCCAGGTTGAACCTGCCCTGGCTCCAGAACATGCACGTGCTGCGCACTAAGGCCTCTTTGTTCAGTTCCTGCGGGGCCTTCGGTTCACCTGGGGCAGAACATTCCTCACTGCTGTTCTGCTTGAGTTTGCTGCACTGCAGTATCTGAGCAGGCACTGTCCAGAGAGTGTTGTCTTGTTCTAGAAGAAACTCGGGTCTCCTCAGATCTGACTCACTGTAGCTCAGACGCCTTCTCAGATGAGTAAGAGGCTGAAGGCATTCGACATTCCTTCTTTTACAGAAAGAATCACACTCGTGACCCAGGGAGCAATGAGAATCCTGGGTCTCAAAAGCAGAGGAGTGGGTGTGGGATGAGTCTGACATCTCGCTGTCCTGCCTGGCAAAGTCTTGGTCGAGCTGCGTGGACACCAACTGAGAAACGGTATTCTCGATCTCAGCTGAGAGGTCTGGGATGTGCAGCAGCTCCGCCTCCACCACCTGCCTGTTCTCAGCCAAGTCCAGCAGCAATTTGCAGACCAGGTAAACCAGCTTTGGCACGTGCTTGAGGTGCCTGCTCTCGTAGCCGTGGAGCAGATGCCTCTGCCGGGTCAGGTACTGGGACAGGGTCACTGTGTGAGCCCTGGGCTCACAGCAGGCAAACACATTTCGCAGGGGAACCAAGAACTGAGTGAATTCCCTGATGCACAGTAACTGCCCCCTGGTCTGGATGGAATTAGGCCTTTTCGCTCTGACAAAAAGAATCGCTTGGTCAGCACTCATTCTTGTGGCAAAAACTAAGTAGCAAGCTATTAGAACACCTGGAAAACACAGAGACAAGATTAGGTAAAGAACAGCCAGACTAAAACAAATACTCAGTGGAAATACAGGATAGAAATTAATACAGGTAAAGACACTCTATTACATGATGCTGTTATTTAATCATGGTTGCATTTGATGAACCACAGGATAGTAAAGCCCTTCTCACTACCCCTCCAGTGGGAGGTAGTTGCTCACCACAGCATCTGCAAGAGTTCCATCATTTGTGGACACAGGACCAGTGGGGGCTTCTATGGGAAGGACACAGGCAGAAAGGACTTGAAAATAGGAAATGGAATCTACCTGATCTAAACAGTGATTGGCAGGTTTGTGAATGTGAAATAAGTACTGGACAGTGAAAGTGTACCAGGTGAATTTTTCCCACCCAAAAGCACCTGTCACATTTGAATGAAATGGAATCGTGACACAGATTTAAATATTCTCTAACCTTGGAGGTTTCTGGTTTTAATATGTTTTTAATAAGACTAATCACCTCTAACCATTGAGAACATTTTGACAAAGCAGGCTAGCACTTTTAACCATTTTATAGGTGTACATCCAGCAATGATATAGAATCTAAACTAATTATTAATGATTTCCAGAGAGACTTTTTGGCATTTTTACAAAAACTTTTGTGCTGACCCTGCAGTAGAGCACATACCTGTCCTCCCAAGTCCTGCATGGCAGTGAACAGCCACCCTCCCCTCCTGCAGGGCAAAAGTCATCACTTTTACCATGTCAAGTATAGTAGTGAGAGATGCCACTCCATAATCCTTCCATCCGAAATTATAAAAATAAACTAAAAGAAAAGGAGAGGAGACAGTGATTTCCTGCTGTGCTGAATGGGAACTGTGTAGTACTATGTGCAGAGATGACTAATAATAAATTTTTAGTACCAAAACTGCATAATGGAGCTTATAAATCTGACTGCATCTTGTTTGCAAGGGATTATTTTCCCATTTCTCTTTTTGTATTGAGAGATACACAAAGGTAGCAAAGAATTGTCAAACTGAAGTTCAGCCAGAAAGCAAAAGCTGTAACAAAACTGAGTGACTGGTGCAGGATTACTGAGCTATATATAGGGGAGGGTAATTTTTTCTTTTTTAGAAAACAAAAGCACTTCTTCAGTCAACAGCTGCTTCTTACAGAGGCACTTTCTCTCTTGTCCTCACATGAAATAACCTTTTATACTCTAGATAAGAAAACATGAGCTGTAACAGAATTTGAAACACCGTTTAATGGTTCATATATTTGTGAACACAGAAGAGAAAGGAAAATTTAACTAACTGTTGTCCTCTCTTTATTTTAAACAGCTGAACATAAACCCTCCATCTCTCTCCACATAATACATGATCTTCAGCGTGTTATTTGCTCTTGATGATATTTGCCACATTTCAAGTTTACATCCCCTCCTGTGCAACGTTTCTTACAGAGCTGCTTTTAACACGCAGGGATTCGAGTAAAAATACCTCTAAGTGCCAAAGTCAATAATTAATGAGGAAGAGCAACAGGAGGGAACTCACTTCCAGCCTCCATGAAGGCTTCAGGAAGGTAGGTGAAGCCGCTCTCTTGTTCCAGAGGATTCCCACAGCTCGCATGCTCCCCAGGACGCTGGAGGTTAATTATGGTTTTTATGCCATATCTTAAGGAAGGAACAGATGAGTCAAAGTGTTACATTGCAGCCAAAGTCTCATTATCCCTTATTTTCTGAAACACACATTTGTTCTTAGTGGAGAGTAAATCTTTACCTGCAGAGCGTTAAAATGAAAGGATCTTTATCAACAATCCAAATCTACGTTGAAAGAGAAAACGGATCAGGAATGACACCAGTGATACTTAAAATAAATAACGACTGAATTTGTTACCTTTCAAACTGCTCAATAATGTTGTACTTTTCAATTAATTCTGTTGAGGGTCGAGCCATAGCCAGGATGTTATCTGTTATCCTGAAAATTAGAGAAGTAGATAATAATGTGGTTATGAATCATTTCCTGGGTATGAGTCTACCAAAATAAGAATACTCTTATAATCAAGAAAGCCAGAAATACCTTGCTGATTAATTAGGAATGACTTTTTAAAATATTCCACTATCCCATAGTATTAGTGCTATATCTTACTAAGCTGATCCAGATACAACATTACTGGAACTGTTTAAAAAGCCAGGACATAAGTAAAAATTCCTTTGAATAGAAATCTGAGCTCAGATCCCTGTTTGGACCTTTAAGGTTTGTAAGTGCCCTTTAATTATCTGCTGTCTGAAAAAAAGCCAAACCCAGCAAGACTGCAAAGATACATTTCACGTGACTCTTGCTGCATGTCCCTCTGAACACATACCCACCTTATTTCATCTGCCCTAAGTGTTCTTATTTTTCAACTCTGTTATGAACATGTTTAATTAATTTTTCACCTTAACCCATAGAGTTTTTTTTAACAATTCCTGACAGATGGGTACTTATTCCTTTGGATCTGAACCAGACTTGCTGTAGGTCAACAGAGATCTCTCCTCATTGCCGGGCTGTGCACAACAGCGATCACTGACTCTTAATTCCCAACCAAGCAGCAGCCGATGGGGAAAAACAAACAAACAAACAAACAAACAAAAAGCTGCTTCTCACCAGGAGGAGTAGAGCCCTTTGATGGCTTGCTCCTGGTCGCTCCAGCGGGCTGGGTTCTCGTACTTGCAGGCCCGTCCCCCGCAGGCCATGGAGCACTGCATGTGCCCCGGGATGACGTGGCGCAGGCGCTCCCCCACCTTCGTGTACTTGGCCGTGGGGCGCCTGGAGCCTCCTGCAACACACGGAGAGCCAGCATGAGTTAGGCGAGCTCAGGGACTCATCCCCGCCTTCAGAGCCTCGCTTCGACCTTCAGCTGATGAGGGCACGAACGATAGAAATAGAGATCTAAAAATATGTGATTATTAATTAGGTATTCTATGTTATATAGATATTAAATAGACTAGATACTTGTACATATAGAGAAATATATAAAAATATGTCTTTCAGACTCAGCAGTTCAACTTTAAACTGATGAAGTTACAAACAGTAGAAATATATATATTTAAATATAAATATTTATATATATTATATATATTAGACTATATACTTATATTAAATATATATTTCAAACTCATCAGTTTAACCTTAAACTGATGACATTACAAACAGCAGAAAGGTATAAATATATATTAATAAATGTATGAATAAATAATTATATCGATTAGATTATATACTTATACATAAATATATATTTCAGATGCATCAGTTCAACCTTAAACTAATGAAGTCACAAACAGCAGAAATATATATATAAATATATATTTTATATATAAATAATAATTGCATATTATATAGATATTGACTAGACTATATACTTATTAATATATATAAATATATTAAATATGTATTTCAGACTCATCAGTTCAACCTTAAGTTGATGAAGTTGCAAACAGCAGAAATATATAAAAATATATACTTACAAATATATATAAATATTATTTATATATCCTATAGATCTTTATTAGACTATATACTTATATAAAATATGTATTTTGGACTTATCAGTTTAACCTTAAATTGATGAAGTTACAAACAGCAGAAATATATATAAATATATATTAATAAGTAGATAAAAATATTATTATATATTGATTAGAGTACATATTTATATATATAAATGTATAAAATACATATTTCAGACTCATCAGTTCAACCTTAAGTTGATGAAGTTACAAAGAGCAGAAAGATATAAATATATATATTTATAAATATATGTATATTAATTATATATTATATAGATATTGATTAGACTATACACTTATATAGAAATATATAAAAATATATATTTCTGACTCACCAGTTCAACCTTAAACTGACAAAGTTACAAACAGCAGAAATACATATAAGTATATCTATTTATAAAGGTATATAGGTATTAATTATATAGATATTAATTAGACAATATACTTATAAATATACAAAAATACATTAAAATATATATTTCAGACTCATTTTTCAAGTAAGGATTGTGAAGGGGAAAAATTGCTTGCATTACTGCAGAAGTTGTTTTTTTCTGGTGAAGTTAAAGGTCTGTGATAGCCCTTGCAACTGAAAAAAAAAAAAAAGGTACAGTCCTCTTCATCCTGAAATCCAGAATAGTTAACCATATATTTGGTGCATGCATAAATATGTGCTTCTGTTTTACCTGTTGTTTATAACTGAGCTGTCAGAGTAAAGAGCATATATGTATATATATACATTATGTATAATACTTTAATACGGAATCAATGAGCAAAATATAAAACACGGGGGAAAAAAAGAAATAAACCACTATTTTATCCTCGTACATAAAACACAGCTCACAGAACCGAAGCACGGTAACACCGACACAATACCCAGAGCCGCCGACAGTCTCAACGAAAAGTACTTTACTTTTTTTCTCGGGAAAAGTTGCATCCAGCTCCTCGGGGCTGAGCGACGACAGAGCCACCATCACGCGGTGGGTGGACGAGGAGAGCAGCTCCACCACCGAGCTCCGGCGCCTCTGGCTCATGCGGAGGAGGGGGTCGGAGGAGGAATGCCTCCGACCCTGGAAGAAATGGCTAAAGATGCTGACGGCCGAGCGCCGCCGCGGCGAGCCCTGCATGGCTGGCCGGCCCGCTGCCGCCGGGAGCCGCGGCCACACCGAGGGCGAGGGAAGTTGCTCAGCGCTGGAGTTGCTGGAGCCGAGCATCCCCGTGCCGAGCATCATCCCCGTGCCGAGCATCATCCCCGTGCCGAGCATCCCTGTGCGCGCCGGTCCCCGCGGGCTGAGCGGTCGCCATGGCGACGGAGGATGCAGCCGTGGGGCTGCTCCCCTCGACAGGGATTGCAGGGATTGCGTCTGCTCGGGACAAACTGTTCCGCTGCTCGGCTCGATGGAAATAGTTGCATTTCAAGGAGGTAATTTTCGAGACGCTCCGGGAACGAGCGAAACGCTTTCCACGAACAATGGGAGTATTTAGTTCCTTCTAAATAACAGGCATTCAGAACTTGCTAAGACACAAAATACTCGATTCAAAAGAACAATCAAAATGTAGCTGGAGGCTCTGCCTCCTGAGAGATCTGTAAGGAAGTACATTATACTCCCCCACCTCTTGGTTTAACATTCCACAGCCACCTCTCCTCCTCCACTTTGCTGCTCCAAAATGCATCATTAGCTGGGTAATGACTGCGATTAGTGTGTTCCTACCGAAATGGTTCGGCACTTGATGAATTGTGGGGACTGTTGGCCTGGACTATTCATATCTGCTAACAAAACACTAGTTGTTATTCAAAACAAAAGGCTGATTTTTTTTCCCTGTCTTCTTTATGATTAGTCCTGCAGCCTGAGAGAAAGCAGATAATGTGGAGGAGAAGGTGTGTCACTTGAGTGCTTCAGGCTTTCAAAGGTAGCTATGAGGTGGCAAATTGCCTCCCACTTTGCTTCCAGTGTGCTAAGGAGGAGAATGAGGTGGCCAGAAAGATTGCAACACGCTGAAAAACTGTGTGGAGAACAGACTACAGTGATGCTGAAGTGCCTTCGTCACCCCACTGGCTGTGCATTAGGCTGCACTGAAAGAGGAAGGCTGGGGGAATCAAGAAAACCCACCTCAACTTTGTTCAATAAGCAAATTAATCCTGCCTTCGCCTTGGCATCTTCAGTCTGTGTTCCTCTTTGTGCTAAAAACCCAGTAACTTGGACAGAGGAATTTGCACAAGGGACAGTTCCCTTCAGAGGAAAATTCACCAGGCAAAAATCTATTTCTTCTTGGTACTGGCCAGGAATTGAGGGCCTGAATTGTGAGTGCTGCACCCCAGCTCTTCCCAAGACACAAGGTTTGCTGTGGGTGCCAGGCCTGGAACATCAGCAGTGATGTCGTATGAGAAAAGGAAGATGTTAAAGCTGATTCTGAGCTGTCTCAAAGCTTTACTCCTTTAATTCATCGATAAAGCTGATATCAACAGGTGAGGAAATATTTCTTTTGGGGGGTGGGTGGGAGTGAAAGGAGATGAAAAAGGCTATTTCAAGTGCTACCTGTATCCAGGAAATGTGGACAGTGTTTTCCAATAATTATATTCCTTTCTTAGACTTAATTCTTTTCCTCTCTCTCTTCCCAGAAACTTACCTTCAGTATGTATCAAATGAGAGTGAAGCCAGAAGTGAGCAAAATAAAATGCTGCACATCATTAGTTTCCCAATGAATCTTTCAGGATTTGCAAACACTCACCCAAAACGGTAAGGAAGAATTGGAGCCTGTAAGAGTTTAAATACTTTGAAGGCACATTTGTATTTTCAGAGAGCTAGGCAGTTTCTCAACACAAAAATCACACATTAAGAGACCCAACAAAATGAAAATTACAGAAAAGATCAACATGTTATCCCCACGATGTGCTGATGAAATAATGCAGTGTGGTTTTGTTATAGACATTTTAATTTTATAAACATGGATAATATTTCTGGTTGGGGTTGTTTATTATTATTTTCTGTGGATTTTTATTTTTTTCCAGGATTGCTCTAGGTATTTTTTTATGAATGGCACATCAGAGAAAAATTCTTACCTGAACTCATGTTTGCAAGGTACCGACTGCTCTCTATCAACGAAGAGTATGGGAGCTCATTTTGCATCAAAACTCCTGCAGCCATTGCAGTACCTGTTGACACAGAAAATATTCACTGAGAATCTACAACAGAAGCTCAAAAAATTCAAAGTAAAGCCCAGAACCTGGCACCTGCTTAGAGAGTTGTCCAAGGCTTAAGCTTTGGGCAGTCAGGCATGGACTGTACCTGGCAGACTGTCTACAACCTTCTCTGCTCTCTTCCCTCCACTCTTGGTGTTTGAAATCACATCCCTGAGGATTCTCCTCTAACAAGAAAACTCAACATGAGAGTCTCTCTAAGCAGAAAACAGATTTTTTTTCTCATACTTTAACATTATTTCTAATACAAGGTGGGTTCTGCTCTAAAGACCTTCTGACAGAAGGAAAGCTGAAGGAAAGCTGTAAATCTGAACACATTAATCAGTCACTGAGATGTTTAAATAAACCCCTTTACAGGGCTCTTGAGTAAAAGTTCTTACCCAGTAAAAGATTTCCATTCTGTTTCTCTTATCTCTTTAGGGAAATAGCTGCAAGTATAACCAAAAAAAGCTCATGTTTTTATACCAAACTAAACATCTCTGTTGCATCATTAACTGTAGAAACTTTACTAAATAGGCAAACTTTATGCTCCATATCCTGCAAAGCCAGTCTTAGGATTCAGCAGCATAAACAGAGTTTTAAGAGACTGATTTGCTAAAAAAAAAACCAACCAAACAAAAGAGCATTGTGTGGATAAGGTGATACAACAGTCCTGTGCTGTTTGCTCTTCATTGTCCAGCTTTTATCTCTAATTCTGCATGATCGTTTTTATAGTAAGTATTTAAATAGAACTTCATTCATTCAGATATTACATTATCTACCACATAGCTGGAATAAATTATTCTTCCAGCAATGCTAATGGACTTTATCCCCAAAGTCACCCAGTGCAGCTCTGTCCTTTCCAAGATGCTTAAAGGGGGGAGCAGAAGCCAAATACGCATTCAGAACCCTTTCCTGTTGCTGCACCAGTCCTCTCACAGGGATGGGAATTCCACCTGTCTGTGAACGCCCAAAACCCTCTGGAGATGTCAGTGATGCTCAGGAGTGCATTTCCAATGTCAGTACATTAATAAGAATATGAATTGAGAAGAATCTTAATAAAGATTAAAGAGCATCTGGAGCATTTTGCTACTCAGTGACCTGACCATCTGACTCCTTCCCCTGAAGAGTCAATCCTGCAATAAACAGGTAGGAATATTTGTATAGAATTGCATTCTGTCTGGACAAGCTCCAAAACCTCTATTTTATTTTTTTTTCAGTGGACTTTGAAATCAGTAAGGGATGGCTTTTATTATCAGAGGAAACTTCATACCAAAAGAAATTATTTTATTTTATCCCCAGAATTTCAATAGAGTTGAATTAACAGAAACTGTTGGTTTCTCTTTCTCAGAAAATTCTCTTAAAAATTTGTCCAGATAACATTTGAAAGAGATATGTCTCTTCCTATGGGCAGCAGAATCACCACCACTATGTCTAGTTTTCCTATTTCTTTGTACTCAAGTGCTAAAAAAAAAAAGATTAAATAGCAGTGATATTTCTATCATGTAAAACTTTTATCCCTTTTTTTTTTTAACCAGGATTCAGGATGACAAGGACTCTTAACTGAAAATGCAAGAGATGGAGGTAAATGCAGAAGAGAATATACTTACAGTATTAGAAAATACTAGAATGATTCTTCTAAATGGCAAAGGTAAACTACATTTATTTGCTGTATAACCGATTTTATTTCAGCAATACACCAAATCCCTAATTCCTGAGCTGGAATTAAATATTTTACCTTAGTATTGTTAATTTTTAATATTTTTAATTAATAATTGCTAAAGAGTTAGTAATATTTTTAATTAATTATTAATATTTTGTCTGCATGCCTTTCAGTTTGCTAAACTTCCCTGACAGGTGTTTTAAATTGCTCGGTGTGATCAATGTGAGCAAATCCCTTATATTTACTTGGAAAGAAAAAAGGTAAGGTTGTGACAAAGACTTCACAGAGTTATAAGACACCCTCTCAAACAACTGTAATGTGGTGATTTGGGACAGGAGTATTACATTCCTGCACTGATAAAAAGGGTGTTAAAAGTAAAATAGTGTTCAAGTAAGAGCAACAGATCCTCCCCTGCTTCATCTCTGTGCTGGATATTCTTAGTTTTTTAAAGATGTTCTGCAGCATTTTGCTCACCCCACGAACGCTGGATTTTGCTCATCCCCTAAACACTTGGCAGAAGCTGGAGGCACAATCCTGGAGTTATTCCAGGTCAGGGTCCTCATCAGGTGCCGGAGGGATCAGAGTCACGTACCTTGGGCAAGCACCCTATCGCCTTAATCAGCTCTGCTCCCTTATCTCTGACATGCATTTCATTGCCATGACAGCAAAGAGGCTGCTCCTTAATCCCTGTTTCCAACTGAAGACACTGGAGTCTCCAGGGCAGAGTTCCATCTCTGTGTTTTAGCACAGAGTCACCACCTGTGTGTGCACACACCACAGGGACACCACACACAGCAGTGGTGGGGCCTCCTGGGCTCTGTCACCCCTGGGGCTGTGACACTGCCCTGGGGAGCCTGTTCAGTGCCAACCACCCTCTGGGGGAAGAACCTTTCCCTGAGATCCACCCTGAGCCTGCCCTGGCACCGCTCCTGGGGTCCTGGCACTGGTCACCACAGAGAAGAGACTGGAACCATCTCTTGGAATCGTGACACCAAGCACTAAGGGGGGATTTCAGGAGGTCCCCTCCAGGTGTGGATTCGATACTTGCTATGATGTCTCTGTGCCATTTTGAGGTTGGGGGTTTTATTTCCACTTTTGAGAAGACCAGTTTTAAATAGAAAGGATTTCCTGCTTGCTGTTGCACTCGATTCACTTGTTGCATTTGGTCACACGGCATCGAGTCCCACTCGCTGCTTCAAACATGCAGAGGTGCCTTTCTTGCAGGGGAAACAGTGTAGGCACATTGTGCTGTAGGAAAGAGCACTCTGTGCTTCCACTTTCTTCACCTCAATTCCCAACCCTGAACAGACATCTCCAGTCTGTGATTTTTTTTCCATGGGTAATTGATTTAATCAAATGTAGTCACTTAAATTTGCAAAACAACCCCACAAACCAAAATAAACAAAACTGCCACATGGCACACACAACTGAAAATGAACTTGCAGTGACCAGAGAATATTTTGCATCAAGATCAAAATACTGGCTCAAGACAAGTTGAATCAAATTGAAAATACCAGTGAAGGGTTTTGAACCAGTTTAGCTAAACTCACTTTAAAGTCAAAGCTTAAGTTAAAATGAGGCAATTCTGAGTTCAGACAAGGCCCAGGTGGTATAATTACATTACAACTTACAACCAAGATCTCCAAACTTTTGCTACAAACTAGACATAACATTCCTTATATTTCTGAACACTCAACCCAGAAGATGACACATTCACCTTTCATGCATGTTTTTCATGCATAGGGAAAGAAAGAAAAAAATTATTGGGGTGACCTGTGCAGGGCTGAGGGTTGGGCTTGAAGGTCCCGGTGGGTCCCTTCCAACTCAGCATATTCCATGATTCTATTATCAGGGGAGTGAAGCAGCCTCTTGCCCACATGCATTTCCCCTGGAATAAAAGCACTTCACTTTGTAAGGTCACAGGTTGAGCAGTGACGTGCCACGGAGGCCAAAGGGAGATCAGGGAATCCCCACGGGAGCAGCTCCTGGGCCACAGGAGCAGGATGGACTCAGAAAACCAGCCCTAGGGTTTGCAAATTACCCACTCTGCCTGGTCCCAAAAAAAAAAAAAATTCCTCTTTAGTATTTCAGGATCTGGAAATCAGTGGATTCCAGTTGCTGGGCTGAATTTTTGCCCCAGAATGAAACCAGAGAAAGGAGCAATGTCTAATATTTTAGCAGACAGAAGGGGAAGAGACAAGAAGATGCTGGTTTCGCTCTACCTCTGCAATTAGGATAGTTATTTAAGAGATGCAATTACTATCTTTTGCTTCAGAACACGTTTTCTAAACAGGGAGAGGAGGCTGCATTCCC